GCAAATCCAAAACTGACAAAATCGGCACACATGCGAGAAAATGGGTACATAACGGTAATCACACACACGACAAAACGAAATGAGATCAGCAGCAGAGCAGAAACAACCATGCACTGCATGTGACAAAAACACCGGAACGCCGCCGACATGAGCAGAGGCGATGCACGAGCACGAGCACGTTGCCTGATGCGTTGGTATGGTATGCTGTAATCAGCTTCAATGCTATTATAACTGCTTTTACGAAAGTGCATGAACATCTTAAAATTTGAAGTAACTCTGACAGTTCAGACAAAAAAAAAAAATGCCTGTCTGAATTTTCAGACTAAAATTTTGAGGCACCTCTGACAGACAGAGTTCCAGGAGGGGTGTACTCTGAGGCCTCAGACTACCTCAAAACGAATATAGGGGCCTGGTGCCATCACGGACCGGCCTTGCACCCACGATGCTGCACTAGCCACCCACGACACAACGCTGACAGCATTGGACTTCAATATGACTACTAGGGCTACGACAAGCACAATCAGACTTTTACTTGAGTGTACTCTGAAAGTTTCATACTTTTTTTTAAACACACTCTGAACTTTAATACTTTTTTTTTAGACAACTCTGAGGATTTCAGACTAATAATGAGAGAGAGTCTGACGAATCAGACAGGCCAAAAACGAATCTGAGGGCCTGGTCCTGAGCTGCTCGAAGTTTGGCCCTGATTTTCGCGAAGGTGGCTGATTTTTAGCCCTTAACGATCACGGGCGCAGGTCAAATTCTAAACTTGAGATCCGGGCTTCCTTGAGAAATGTACGTGAGCCCTAAGGGCGTGTTACATTGCTTTTGGGTTGCGTAGCAACCTTATATATTCGTTTTCGCTTTTCGGTTGGCTGATGTGAACAGTGAATTTCTTTTTTAAATTTTGAAAGAAATCACTGTTCACATAGCTTTCCCAATTCCAGTCATTCCATAATCGTCGATAAGCACGGCGATTGGAACAATTGGAGAATCGTTCTAGCACTAAAGATGATACGGTACCCAATGATACACGAATACAAAGGACAACACAAAAAGTACAACAGTACCACCGAGAGACAGACATGGTACACAAAGGACCACAAAAACGATGGTGTACAAGAACCGTCGTACATATTTTGACGGGAATACTAAATGCATCTATGCAACAACTGAGACTGATATGGTACGGAAGAGACGAGCAAAGCTGCCCCACCGACAATCACAATCCCAGTTGCATACACGAGACACTTAACACCACACCCCCAAAACAAGCACATAAATGGTTACAAAAAGACAAGACAATGTTTAAGAAACACAAGACAATGTTTAAGAAAGTTTCAAAGCGAATGCTAAATGCATCAGTGCTGCAACTGAGATTGATATGGTACGGAAGAGGCTAGCAAAATTGCCCCACCGACGATCACAATCCGAGTTGCATTCAGGAGGCACTTAGCACCACACCCTGAAGCACGCACAACACACATATGCACATGGACGCACTCACACACATACAGGCTCACATATATCCAGAGACACACAACGCAAAAACATACAGCTACTGCAATAAGCATGTAAGCATAATGAATGAATTTCAGCCTTGTATAAATTATCACTATCCTGTCCCCCGTTCCCCTCCCTCCAGGCCCTTAGATATCAGTGTAAAACACGCTGATTACGCTGATTTTGTAGCTCAGATTTTCGTTTTCCAGCATATGCTTCAAATTTGCATTGAAATTTCAGTATAACATACCTTGCCACACTGACCATTTTCCGTGTTTCTGTACAAGTAGCACTGACGAATCAGTGTAGTGTCGTGAGTCACACTGAAATGGACTAGACCGATTCGGGGTGGTACGCGTGTGTATAGTCTGTACCTGGCCCGGGATTCACGAGACCTCACTAGGCTGTACCTGGCCCAAGATTCGCGAGACCTCACTCACACACTTAACGATGCATGCGCTGTACAGATCGCGTGCCGACGTGTTTTTGCATCGTTGGAAGGAGCTCTCACAGCGATAAATTGTGAACGGGAGATTCAACTTTGTATTTCTTTTTTACACTGATGGTTCAGTTTACTTATAACTTTTACAGTGGCAAAATCAGTATAAAGAAAACCATGAACGCTGATTTGGACACCTGGGCGACTGGGGCACGCTGATCCATCAGCATACCCTCAAACCAATCTGAGGGCCTCCCTCCCTCCCTCCCTCCCTCCCTCCCTCCCTCCCTCCCTCCCTCCCTCCCTCCCTCCCTCCCTCCCTCCCTCCCTCCCTCCCTCCCTCATTTCCCTCATCTCCCTTCTCCCCATCCCTTTTAACCGCAAGAAACAAATGACAGAATCAACAGTAGAAAGTAAGAATGAAGAAAGGAGGGGGATCACTAGAAAACAGTTGAATACAAATAGCAAACCCTAACTGGGTTGTACTCGCTATAGAGCACCCCACTGCAGGCTAGATAATATAACATTCTAACACACCCCCATAGCCAAAGTGGGGTGGAATCAGCACAGTAAGCAAAGCAGAACAAGCTCAGGGTGGATCACAATGTCACCACACATTCTGAGCACAATTACAAGAAGCAACAGTTTAAAGTTCACAATTATGGGCAAAGCTAGTGGTAGTCACAGCGGGCAAGTGAGGAGGAGGAGGGACTGTGAGAGGAGAGAAGATGGGAGACGACGGCTGAAGCTGCAGACACACGGGCAACAGGAGCGGCTGGCACAGTGGCTACCGGGACAGCGCCCCGGACTACTGGAGTAACTGGCTCATGGGCTACGAGGAGCTACAGGAGCAACGGACCCACGGGCGACAGGCGCAGCAGGCTCTCTGGGCTACCAAGATAGTGCGCCCCGGACTACAGGTGCTGCGGACAACAAGACAACAGCCTCCACTCAACCTCCCCAAACAGTCCCACACCCCCCTACACACACCCCCGGTTTCACCCCTAGCTCCACTCCCACATCACCCCCCTTAGTACCACTCCGACGGCTCCAACAGGTCCACCCCCCTCAGCGGCAGCTGCAGCACTTGGAGACGGAGGAGGAGGAGGAGCAGGGGACGGCACACAGAAGCTGCACACAACGGGCACCCCCACAACCGCCACCCCCACACTCCTCAGCCCAAAAGAAAAGAAAAAGCAGGGAATGCAACTCACTCCCTGCACTTGTGAAGAAATTGAGGAATGAAGAAGAAAGGTGTTCACTATCAAGCAGTTGAGTACATATAGGAAACCCTAAGTTGGGCTGTACTGACTATTGAGTACCCCACTGCAGGCTAGACAAACATAACATTCTGACACACCCCCATAGCCCAAGTGGGGTGTAATCAGCACAATGAGCAAGCAGGCATAGAGCAGGAGTTCACAATAGTGAGCAAAGCTAGAGTCATTCACAAAAGGCAAGTGAGGAGGAGGAGGCGAGACTGTAAGAGGAGAGGAGATAGGAGGCGACGGCTGAAGCTGCAGACACACGGGCAACAGGAGTCACACTGGCACAGCGGCTACCGCAACAGCGCTCCGGACTACTGGAGTAACTGGCTCCGCGGCTAAGACTAGCAGCAGACGAGCAACGGACCCACGGGCGACTGGCACAGCTGGCTACGACTGGGCTACCGGAGCAGCGCCCCGGACTACTGGTGCTGCTGACAACACGACGACAACCTCCGTTCAACCAACCTCCTCCAGCTGCCCCACACCTTTCGACACACACCCCCTGCTCAAACCCTAGCTCCACTCCCATAGCACCCCCCTTACACCCTAAACCGCAGGCTCACATACATCCACCTCCCTCAAAACCCTAGCTCCACTCCCACAGCACCCCCCTTACACCCTAAACCGCAGGCTCACACACATCACCTCCCTCAAAACCCTAGCTCCACTCCCACAGCACCCCCCTGAAACCCTAAACCCCAAGCTCCCACACATCCACCGCCCTCAGCGACAGCTGCAGCAGTGGGAGACGAAGGAGGAGGAGGAGCAGGGGAGACCACACACCCGTCACCCCCTACTCGCCACCCCCAGACCCTAACACAGGGCAGGGCGGGACGGCGGGTAGGGAGGTTAGGGGGGGGGGGGGGTGACGCGCGGTCTCCCAGGGCGCCAAAACAGGCGGCAGAAGGGGCGATGCTCCCCGCACGTGGCCCCCTCAGGTCGCGTCGACAGGCGACGGGAAAAGGGGGGGGGGGGGGCGGCGCACGTGCCCCCGGTGCGCCACGGCTGGCGACGGGGCATGGCTGGGGCGGGGCCGGGGCCGCAAGTGGCGGCGACGGGGCCGCTAGAGGCGGTGACGGGGCCGCTGGCGGCGACGACGGGGCCGCTGGCGGCGACGACGGGGCCGCTGGCGGCGGCGACGGGGCCGATAGGAGCGGCGACGGGGCCGTTAGGGTCGGCGACGGGGCCACTGGCAGCGGCGACGGGGCCGCTGGCGGCGGCGACGGGGCCGATAGGGGCGGCGACGGGGCCGCGAAGGGGCCGCGAGGGGCCTGGAAGGGCGGCGACGGGCTGAGAAAGGGGTGGCGACAGGGCCGCGAAGGGGCCGCGAGGGGCCTGGAAGGGCGGCAACGGGGCCGCGAAGGGGCCGCGAGGGGTCTGGAAGGGCGGCAACGGGGCCGCGAAGGGGCCGCGAGGGGCCTGGAAGGGCGGCAACGGGGCCGCCAAGAGTAGCGTGAGGGGCACGCCACGGGGCGTGCCGAACACAGAGTAGCAGCGGAAGCAGTTAGGTGGGACCACAGGCCAGGAGCGTAGATGCTCTGATACCATGTGAAGAAATTGAGGAAATGAAGAAGAGAGGAGTTCACTAGCAAGCAGTTGAGTACATATAGGAAGCCCTAAGTTGGGTTGTACTCACTATTGAGTACCCCACTGCAGGCTAGACAAACATAACATTCTGACAACAGCCACGTGTGCGAGCCGCCGATGCCAAGTCAATCCGCTTGGCCCGAGGTAGCCGACGCCTTCACCGCCGCGCTTCCTCCAATTAGCTCCTCTCCTTGCACACCTTGCTACTCCTCCTCAGTGACGCTCTCCTCCATAGATGCCGCCATTGCTGCCTTGCCCGATTTACGCCAAGGGAGGACCGGGATCTGCCACATCCACTTGTGGACATCCCCTTTCCACCGCAGGTCCCAAATCAGCCGCTCATCGTTGTAGGCACGATAGCGCTCTGAGCCAATCGTCTCCGTGTTCACACCCGCATCTCCCAACCGGCCGGTTGAAATCAGGTTCGCGCACAAGTTAGGCACCCACAGCACGTTCTTCGGCCCCACGAGCTCTCCATCCGCTCCCATGAACTTCGCGCACCCCATGCCCATGACCTTGGCCTCGGCGCCCGTCGCGGATGTGACTGTAGAGATAGGTGCGGGCTGAATCGCATCAAGTAGGTCCGCACGAGGAGTCATGTGCCAAGAGCTGCCCGAGTCAATCACCCAATGGGTGAGGGGATGAAGAAGAACCTTGGCAGCCTTAGCGAGGTCGGTTGCGCCTTCGTTCACGAAGAAGAACCCGGCCTTCCGCTCCTCAGATTTGCCGCCTTTCTCCTCATCCTTCTCCTCTCCACTAGCTCCCATGACTCCCCCACTCATCGTGCCACCACGCTGGTTGCTTGATGAAGGCGGGATCCAATCCTTGGGTCGTTGGTAGCACTTCCGCCAACGATGTCCTCGCTTCTTGCAGTAGAAGCACACCTCCCCTTGACCCCCACTGCCATCCTCCTTAGGGTTGTCCATGTTCTTTCCCTTCCACTTATTCTTGAAGCCACTCTTTCCACCTCCAGCTCCATAGCCAGCCCCCTCCGCCGAGCGCTCCACACTCCGCCGCCGCAAGTCCTCCTCAAAGATGCACGCACGAATATAATCCACGCTCCACTGGGGCTGTTGAGAGTTGAGGTTGATCGCTAGGGCAGACCACAACTTCGGCAGCCGTATCACAATCTCCACGCAATCTCTCATTCGCACTCTCACGCGCACTCTCACTCACGCGCTCCCTCGCACGCTCTCTCACGCGCTCCCTCACGCGCTCTCTCACGCAATCTCTCATTCGCACTCTCACGCGCACTCTCACTCACGCGCTCCCTCACACACTCTCTCAGGCGCGCTCGCTCTCACGGGCTCTAACACGCACTGTCACGCGCTTTCTCACGCGCTCTTTCACGAGGAGAGCAAAAAACAAACAAACCAAAGAAGAAGAAGAAAAAAGTTTTTTCAGGGGGAGGAGGGAGGATAAAAGAACCGGGAACGCACCAGATAACCACGGTAACTCAGAAATCAACCCGGGCTCGCGCACCAATCCGCGCTCGCGCACCAACTGACGCTTGCGCTCGTGCACCTGTCGCCGGAGGCGACGGCGGGGAGGAGGGAGAGGCGACGGCGGGGAGGAGGGAGCGGCGACGGCGGGGAGGAGGGAGAGGCAACCACGTGGAGGGAGAGGGGACGGCGGGGAGGAGGGAGAGGCGACGGCGGGGATGAAGGAGCGGCGACAGCGGGGAGGATGGAGCGGCGACGGCGGGGAGGAGGGAGAGGCGACGGCGGGGAGGAGGGAGAGGCGACGACGGGGAGGAGGGAGAGGCGATGGCGGGGAGGAGGGAGAGGCGACGACGGGGAGGAGGGAGAGGCGACGACGGGGAGGAGGGAGAGGCACGACCCTCAGCATCAAAGGTAAGGACACTGGGGGTAGCCATGACAGCAGTGGTCTAGCAGGGAGTGCTCTCACCAGTCCGTGTGGGTAGGGCCGGGGCGCGCCGGTAGGAATAGGGCTGTAACCGCGGTGGCAGCGGCTCGGTAGTGGCGGCTCGACGGCGGCCTCGGCGGCCCGGTGGCTCGGCGGCTCGGCGGTTCAGCGGCTCGGCGGCTCGGTAGCTCGACGGCTCGGCTGCTTGGCGGCTCGGCGGCTCAGCGGTGAAGGGGCCGTGAAGGGCGGCGACGGGGCCGCTAGAGGCGGCGACGGGGCCGCGAAGGGCGGCGACGGGGCCGCTAGAGGCGGCAACGGGGCCGCGAAGGGCGGCGACAGGGCCGCGAAGAGCGGCGACGGGGCCGCTAGGGGCGGCGACGGGGCCGCGAAGGGCGGCGTCGGGGCCGCGAAGGGCGGCGACGGGGCCACTAGGGGCGGCGACGGGGCCGCTAGGGGCGGCGACGGGTCCGCTAGGGGCGGCGACGGGGCCGCTAGGGGCGGCGACGGGGCCGATAGGGGCGGCGACGGGGCCGCAAAGGGGCCGCTAGGGGCCTCGAAGGGCGGTGACGGGGCCGCTAGGGGCGGCGACGGGGCCGCGAAGGGGCCGCGAGGGGCGGCGACGGGGCCGCAAAGGACGGCGACGGGGCCGCAAGGGGTGGCAACAGGGCCGCTAAGGGTGGCGCGAGGGGCCGTGAGAGGGGCCTCTAGGAGGGCGCGACAGGCCGCTAAGGGCAGGGGACGCGACGTGAGGGCGGCCCACGGGGCGCGCCTCGGGCAGGGGCGACTCGCGCTTCTGTCAGAAAAAAAAAAAAGTCGATTTTAATGGTGGGCCCTGAGAAGCATTCCCACTAGGGAACCTGCTCTATACCATGTGAAGAAATGAAGAATGGATGAACTAGCAAGCAAGTGGGTACAAGTAGGAAAACCTAAAAGTGTTGTACCCCATATTGTCTACCCAACTACAGCCTACACAGACTATAGCATATGAGTTTAACAGTCTCAAATGATTTTTTGCGGAAAAGGTAACCAGAAAAATGTTCGGACGGAGGCCCGTCTGGCGAAAGTAAAACATAAAGTACGCCTTAATGTCCCAAAGGCCGATGTCCAACTATTAATTAGCAACGGGAAGGAGCATGCTAACAACTCATTTGTGAACCTAGGGCAGGGGGTGGAGAAGGGATGTGTAGGGGAGGAGGGGCCTCGTAGGGCAAAACGTCGTCAACAAAGAAGTTGCTTAAATTCTTATGTATTCGCAAAGCACTTCCGAGGACATTCATTCCATGTAGTACTCATAGTGTGAACCGATGGGCTGAATTCCTCTTCGCCACGTAAGGGTTTCGGTGTCGCGAGTCCAGTGTGAGTACTTGGAACTCTGAGGGAGTGTATGGACTTCGAAATATTTTGCAACTGCAGCCATAACATCAAAACTCGAGATTTCCTTCATACCTAAGTAGATTGAATGTGGGAGCTACGGGGATGATGAGAGCGGGAGGAGAAGAGTGGCTACTTGGCACACTCGCAGGGTTACTTGTACTCCTGATCCGGGAAATCATGAAAAGGACCCAGACCAGCCCTAACGGATCCGAACTGATACCCCAATGTCTCAAAATCAGCCCGTAAGAAAAACGGGCTCCCTTCGAAACCAGTCCTTTGAAACGCAGAAGCTGGCAGGAGTTCGCCCGGAATGTTCAGGGCATTAAGGGCAAATGCCCTTGAATCGACAGCTCTCTTGATGCTGTTGACGTTCGCATCGCGACTCGCGAGCGACTGCGCGCACCTAAACAAATCTACCCCCACACATCGGCCAGTTTGAAATGAAAGGCATTTGCGAACGCACAGATTTTCGTATCGGGTCGATGGAATTCGCCAATCCTCGTCGGGAGAAACGAGAAAGGGGTTACCGTCCCACGAACCTGTTCCTGCGTGCGACGGAGCAGCACATCAGATTGCAGCAATAGAACCTTCGCGAAGCCGATCTGTGCATCTTTTTGCACAGTAGCTCGCAAACCATGGCCTGGCCGCCTGGCATGGCGGCGCGACTACACTACCAACACTTGGGTTCGTCCTGATACACAAGCTGAGGAGCTCTCACCCAGCCGGACCTGTTCCCTATGGAGCTCCTCTCGTTCTTTCCGTCTTTTTCCCAAGATTCGCCACGCTGTCAGTTCTCGACCAATCTTCCATCATTCCTATGCCTTCTAGTTCCTTCTTTTCCAGACACAGTAGCCAATGAGAGCTCTCAGCCCTCCCATGACATTTTCCCCGACCACTGTACTGTATCTCAGCCTTGTAGATATTTCTCCGCCGTGAGCCACATCTTGCAGTCCGCCTCAAAAATATCAACCATGTGTGTCAGCGTCACACGCGCTTCCATGTCGTTAACTCACGATTTCGCGATCCCAGGCGATGCTGTCGCCCTACTGATTCATTTGGTAGCCAGCCAAACCCAAGTTCTCCTTTGTCTGTCCTGCAAATCACTCTACTCAGCAGCAGAGAGCCTAACCTTCCGCAGATACAAACCGCAGCGACTCTCTATGGTAGTACCGACCGCCCCTTGATTGGTTCCTAGCTGGAATATACATAAGGCCATTTACTCGAGTAGCCGCCATGGGTTGTGTTCGTACCACAAGGCTCCGCAGACCTCACACCGCTGAACCGTACACGACTCCTCCATCTCCACAACGGGCCTCCCGCCAACCATTCCAAACCGTTTCCACCGAGCCTGATAGGTTCGGCATTGAATGGGAGATTCTCGACAACATCGCGCCAGCGTTTTCCAGTCCCGTGTGGATAGTAACGGAAACCGTCGACGCTTACGTTTTCTGCGTGGAGCAAAGAGGTTTCCCGCTGCAGCGCGTCCAAGTTCTGCTGGACAGACGCGAATGCCAAGAGTCTGGCGAAAACAGCTGCGAGGACGAAGATACTGACTGTCGCGAAACATCATGCGACCAGAGCAGTGACTCGTCGCAGCAATCATCAAGAAATCGTTTCAATCTCAGCAGCATTGATACTAGCCGCTGCGGTAGCATAACCGCACCGCTTCTTACCATCTTGTGTGGATTCCATGCGACGTCGCATGCTGCCTCCGAGGGAAGCGTATTCCATCAAATGACCGGCAGGCGGTTCAAACTGCCGCCTGACGCTGTCGCAGAGGACACGACGGCCATGCAGACTGCGACAGGATCGTTGGTGGTCGCCGTCCCTCGCTCTTCGTCAATAAACAACGGCTCGTCATCCAATACAGCTCCTTCTAATCATCCTTCTGGAAATTTCTCTCGACCAAGATATGGCCAGTGGATCGTGCACGTGGCAACAGCAGCATCATCAGCAGCAGCCTCTTCATCAGAAAGGCAGTACGAACCTTCTGCTGACTCGTTTCAGCATTTCAATCTGGAGTTGCTTCAAGAGTTGAGGGTCTGTAAGTGTTGATGCAGATTGACTGCATGTATTGCTGGAAAGCATCAGCCTGTACAGCTTATTGCCTCCTCTTTATACTGAATAATGGAAACAAGTATATCTGAAGTTCCATTCTAACATCTCACATGCTGCATACCAGTACTGTGCACATGCTCCTTTCAGATAAACTAGCTAACTACCTGGAGTTAAGGTCACGAAGCAAATAAATTAATCTACACATGCCAATAAAACAGGTCATTTGGCTTTATGAAGGCAACAATTTCCAATCGCGATGTCTTCCATACTGTGCAGTTGCTGCTCTTGCCGATGCCATACTGACCGATAAGCCAACGACACATAGTGAGGTAAGCATGTTGGATGGCGCTGACAGTGCCAGGCTCCATGTTACTGGATGGTGTTGCTCCGCACACCCTCTAGATAGATACAAACAAACGACAATCACCAAACAGACCACACAGGAAAGAGGAACGGGTACGAAGAAGGTTAAGCCTGAAGCAACTGTTTCCTCTGGGCAGTTGAAGCTTAGTCAACCAGGGCTTGATCAGCGGATGTTTCAGCTGCCAGGAGCAAGGAACAGCCATCAGAGTAACTATGACAAAAGGCCATCACGAGCAGCACAAACAGCTGCTTAGGCTACAATAGGGTCATCACGTGGCTGCTATCGCTCACACCAAGAAGACAGCATAACTGACATAAAGATTACACACCCAAAGACTCCACCGCACAGAGTTACAAACGATATGGGAAAATCGTAGATAGCAAAGATACACTCAGCAGTGTACGACAGGTCGAAAAGGCTACACCTTTAAAAGCAGTTAGCTTATGGGCAGCTATTAATCGTCCTATCTCCCCACCCGCACCCATGTCCATCACTTATAGTTACCTTTCCAAAATCCTTCTCATCTATTGTTCCGCATGCTTCCGCTGTTACCAACCACCAAAAAGAGTTGACTTCTGAGTCATCTCAAGAGTCAGTTGTTCCGCATGCTTCCACTGTTACCAACCAGCAAGGCCAGGCCTGCTGGCATGGCAGCTTCATTCTGCTCATCACCAAACAAACCCATCTAATAGCCTCTGTTCACTACCACAAAACCCAACTAAACGCTCCTATATTCTAATTTTTAACCTGCAAGCTCAAACACACCTCAATTGCATCACTCGGAATCCACCATTCCCCAAACGTCATCCAGATTACCTCGCCGCTTAACTCTACCACCCATTCTTCCCAACACCCTCAACCATCACAATACACCCATCCCACCCTCACCTGAATCGCCCGCGGCACTGGAACCACCTCAACCATCGCCATCACCGCTTGTTCTCGGCGCAGTGCTGCCGCAGGATCTGCAGCAGCGTCTTGGCCTCCGAGTTCTCGGCACTCGTCTGCGACACGCGCACCAGCGACGGCAGCACGCCCTCCGCGAGCAAGTCCCCGTACGTCACAAACCCCATGGCCGCCAGCTGTAGCAGCACCGACGCCGCATCCTCCTTCACCCGCGCTGATGACCCCTCATCAAGTAGATCCACAAACATGGTCAGCCCGTCGCACTCCACCACCGACTGGCACCCTTCGGGGAACCGGGCCAGGTTGGATAGGACCGCCGTGGCTTTCTCTTCCAAGCCTGGCGGGGGAGGGTCGGCGGAGTCCCCCGAGCCACACATGCCTAGCAGGACCTCGACAGCTCCGGCTTTAAGGATATCCCGGGCGCAGCGCACCTGGGTGGAGAGAGTGAAGAGAGCCAGAGCTGCGTCTTTCTTTGCCCGCACCGTGCCAGTTTTGAGGAGCGAGATGAGTGCAGGGATGGCCCCTGATGCTCGGACCATCAGCTTGTGGTCGTCTTCTTTGGAGAGGGCAAACAGGGTGGCGGCAGCATTGCCTTGCGAGGCCGACGTGCCGTGATTGAGCATGCCCACCAGGGCTGGTATTCCACCCGCTCGCACAATCTCCCCTGATGCGTTCCAGTGGAGGGATAGGTTCATGAGAGCAGCAACAGCGTGCTCTGCTGCTTCTAAGTCGTCAGATTCGATTACTTCCACTAGCGGCTCGATCCCCCCTAGTTGCACCAGCTGTGCTTTGTTTTCCGGGCAGCCCTTGATGGCAGTTCGGATGTCTCGCACAGCTGCCCGCCGGTCCACACCTGACCCGAAATTCAGTGCCTCAACCATCGGGCCCATGTCCCGCCGGACGGGTGCGCCGCCCGGGTCATCATTGCTGCCGCCCGGCATGCTCATCATGCTGCACGTGCTGCGCGCGCTGCTGTTTCTCTGCAGCCGCGGCACACCAGGAGCGCCGCCCCCGCCTGTAGCAGAAGGCCCCTGGGGCGGCTGGGGGGGGTACTGAGGGGGAGGGGTCATGGGGGGAGTGGCATGACCATACCCCATGTCTACATCTTGCATTGCCGGGTTGGTGGTTGATTTTCTGAAAGCCCTACCAGCCGATGATGTACTCTCAACGTCCACATCGTGCAAGTGGGGCGACGGGTTGGTCGGCGACTTTCGGAACGTTCTGCCGGCCGACATGGCCTCGATATCCGCCTGCCACTGCGGGATGGATGACGTCAGCCGCTCCAAACCCTGCCCTTGCCCCCCACCGTATCCGCCCCCGCCCCCGCCCCCGCCGCCGCCGCCGCCGCCGCCAGCAGCAGCAGCAGCGCCAGCAGCGTTTTTCAGCACGCCTTTCCGGAGCCCCTTAGGCCTGCCCGCGGTGCTTCCGCTGGGTGCCATCCCCGACCCCGCGCCCCTCCACGGCTCCCCCCCGCCCCCGCCCCCCTGCCCGTAGTCCCCGCCGAACGCGGCGCCCGAGGTCCTAGGCCGCTCGTCTCCCGGATTCGCGGCGAACTGCCGCCTGCCGCCGCTTGCGCTGCTCGCGCCGCCCATACTGCTGCCATCAGTAGAGTCCATACCGAAGTGCCGTCGTCCCCCCGTGCTGCTCCCACTGCTGTTGCTGCTAATGCTAGGCACCCGCCCGTGCCCCACCGACCCTGGCCGCTGCGGCAGCGGGGACATGCTCGCGCCTGCCCCGCCTCCGCCTCCCCCCGCCAAAGTTCTCCCCGCTGGTGCCAGGTGCTCCCCGTGCCCGCCGTATTCCTCGTCCCCCCGTCCCCCTCCCCCACCTGCCGCCCTATCCGCATCCCTCTCAGATTTTTTCACCTTCCTGCCCGTTTCCGAATGGGACCGCATCTTAGCGCTGCTGCGCAGCGACGGCGGCGCCGCCTCATCCGCGTCGCCCGACGACGGCCCCTCGGCGGGCATCCTTAGCCCCGCGCCGCCTCTAACCCCATCCGATCCTATCTCCGATAGTAGCTTATCCCGCTGCTTCCTTGTCATCTTCATACTCCTCCCCTTCATCAGATCTGATACCTTCCCGGGACCTCCACCCCCGCCGCCGCCCCCGCCGCCACGGCCTAACTTGAGCGCGGACATTCCGGCGGAAAGTTTCCCCCCTACGTCATCGTCATCGTCGGCGGGAGATCCGAACCCGTCCTCACCGCGCGGAAAGTACGATAAATGCCGCTGCAAACCTCCTGCCTTCTTAGGCTTGCTGCTCTGCGACGCTATAGAATCCCATACGGCTTTAATATCCGTCGGTCCGTCCCCTCCCTGACCATCCCCACCCATCGCCGCCACTTTCTTCGACAGGTTCGACGGCAGCGGGCTGACGGACCTCGCCCGAGCCTTGGCGTCCGAACCACTTCCCGAGCCTGAAGCCTTGCGCCCCCTCTCCTCCCCGCCATCCGCACTCTTCTTCTTAACCACTTTTTTCTTCCGCACTACCCCATCGGAAGAACGTTCGAAGTCCTGATCGTCTGGACCGCGCTCCGACTGAGACTGCGCCAACAGCGAAGGAGGAGGTGGTGTTTTCGGCCGCAACTGGCTGGTTTTCGAGGAGCTTTTCACCACGGTTTTTTTCGCTGGGGCAGTGCTGGGTCGGGCAGCTGAAGAGTGGCTGCCCGAACCTTGTGCCATCCAATCAGAGATCATGCTTTTTAGGGCAAAGTTCGGGCAGAAGTTTGTATGGTCAATCCGCACGCCGGACTTGGGACACGTCCGCTTACCCTCCGCGAACCACCGCTCGATAGAAGCACGCTCGTACGTCTGGCCTGATGCGATTATGACGGGGTCAGTCATGACGGTTAACGAAAGCGGACACATAAACTCCTCTGGTATTGTCGGACCGTTAGACTCCGCCTTCTTACCACCGCTGCTGCTGCTACCGCCGCTCTCTTTCTTTTTTCTCGTCGGCTTCGCTTCCCGTTCCTTCGACGGTCTCCGCCGCTCCTGCTCCCCTACATGGTTATCCTCCTCCCACGCCTGATCCTCATGCCGATGCTGACGCCGCTGCTGCCGTTGCTGCCTATCTACAGTGTTTTCCCGCTCCCAATTGGACGCTCGGGGTTCGTCGTTCCATCCGTTGCCGTGGTTGTCTTGATAATCATCGTCGGGATGGTAATGATCCGACGATTGCGACGCTCTCTCCCAGCTGTTACAGGTTGCTGGATCCATGATACGCGCGAACAGCTAGGGTTCTGGTCTGAAAGGGAAAAAAGGGAAATTGATTTGTCGAGAACAAAAACAGAAGGAAGGCTGGTGACATAATCGTGATTTTTCTCAAATCGAGTTCATACACTTGAGCAGGAAAAAAAACAGGCCCACGTTGTGTCTATTGCTTCCGCAAAGTGGTGATCGATAAGGAGAGGCGGGAAGGAAAGGAAACGAGGCAGGAAAAGTCCTGGTAAAGCTCCAATTCACATGCAACCATAATGCAAAATACAAACTGAAATGCGAGAAAACGCCGACTAATGCTAGAGGTATATCGAAAATCGGCTAAGCTGATGGAGAGAAATGAATGACTTCTGACAATGGGGAGAGTGAAACTGGACAAAGCTTACATGCTTACGTCGTGAAGGCGCAGTGACCCCCTGATAAGGCTCTGGACCAGCGGAACCGATATATCTACTGGTAACTACGAGTATGGCACTAAAACACTAACAAGATCAGCCTTGGCTTGCTTAATAAAATCTCTGCTCGGATCGTTGTCTAAGACCTAATAGTTACTTGCTAACACAATCGCTATCCACAAAACCGAGTCCTTGGCAACGTCTTCGGCACCACCTAACTACCGGCATTCACGGTATTACGGCCATACTATCGCAATCCTATTTCACAGCACATACGCTTCCGGCGGAACATTCTGGACGACAACGAAGGAACCAGCTACGAAGGACGACGACAAGGAGAACGCAAAAAGCGTAAGATTTCCGCCTTGCTGTCAGGAGTTCTTAGGGTTACGAAATAGAGAAGGGACTGAGAGCTTGCTAATGTGCTAAATGCCACTGGCTGATGTCATGACGGATCCTTTCTCTTGGACTGCCGATAAGGGAGGTGCTGCTTCTGAGTCGCGGTACTTGAGATTCTAAAAGCGGAGGTTAATGTGATTGTTAGGAGGAGTTGACAAATGTTAGCGTGACAGTTTTAAGCGTCGTGTGGTAACCCGCCTTGCGGAGGGATGCGATGAGTCGGATGGATGAGCGGACGAGATTCGCAGAGATTGGCTGCTGCAGTTCCAGTTGCAGGTTGGTGGTTTGGTGGGGTTGGGCTGGATGGGAAACCTTTAGATGTTGGGAGAAATGCGGGCAGAGGATTATGGGCAGATGGGAAGCGTTGTATTGGTCCTAAGTAAGGTTGCGAGCGGGCATGGTGAGTGTAGGGCAAATAATTGGTGGCTGAGAGCAAGTCGGGCATGGCGGGAGAGTAAACGGACAGATAAAGGATTGGACCTTTTAGGAGGTTGGTGGGGACGACTGTGAAAAGCATAACTCGAGAATTTCTGAACCCACGAAATATCACGCATTCCACGACAGCATCGAGTGTAGTGAATGTGCTTGTTTCAAGAATGTCTAAACTGTTCCAGTTCATTCATATAATAATCAATCCTTGCACATGGACATGACCAACACGGATCCTCAACCAGCTCCAACGCCAGTCTGGCAATGCATGGACATCCTCCACACCTGACTGGACTTTCTGGATCCATTCAGGAAAGGGGAAGCCAAAAAAATGGTGGTATGCTTGTACTTCAGCCATTGGAGACGCATCCTTCTAAGAAATACCCGATCTGCTAGATATCCCAATCAGTAGCTGGCCAATGTCTGGCTGACATTGACACGGCCAGGTGACGCATTCTTGTTGAACTTGGACCACTTGAAGTCCTCGTACTTCTTCCCCACCCCAATCAGCCCAAGAGCGCTCTCAGCCGGCGAGTTATCCGTCTCCTTCACTCCAATATCCGTCGACTTAAACCCCTTGGCTGGCCCATCCACAGCAACCAACTCGCCATCATACGACAAGAATTGAATCACTGTGGCATCGCCGTTTGCCGGCTGGGAAACAAGTGCCATGCCATCTGACGGGCCGTTCTGCAGCCCCCCTTGAGCGTACGTGTTGCCATACACCACGAAGCCGTTAACGTTGGTGGGAGGAAGGTTGAACTTGGAGAGAGGAAGCTTCCCGTAGCTTTTGCCATTGGCTCCGTTGTAGAGGTAGATGGTGAGGGTGGAGGGGTCCACGCCTGGACTTACTACCACCTCAATGAACTGCATTAGACGGGGGAAATGAAGGGGGACGGGGGAAAATGAAGGCAAGGGTGGCAATAAACATTGAGGAACGTTGCGATGGCGTAGGATCTAATGCATATGTTACCGGATTAGGCGGGGATGTGGGGTCAGAGGCAGGTTGGGTTGAAGGGAGAGAGCAGGGTGATGAGGAGAGAGGGGGGCTACAGGTGAAAAGTGAAAGAACAGAAGATTTGAGTGGAAAGAAAAACTGGGTGGCACAGCTAAGAGAAATAGCGGGATGGAGCTAGGCATACAGCTCTGCCAAGTCTAACTGCTGCAAAGTGGGTAGGGAGGAGGACGATCGAAGAGATGCCTGTAAACGATTTATTTCTCCCTCATTGCCTCCATCCCCTACTCCCAAATCACCCATTCTCTACCTTTCCCTCTGTCCCCCGCACAATTCCCAACCATATTCCTCCATCTTGACTCCACCACCCACCTCGTTCTTATCCGGCCCTTCATTGCTGTAGTGAATCTCATTAAACCAAGCCTTTGCCTGCAAACCAGGCACGCGTGGAGCAGCCACCCCGCTAGCCCCTCCTGCTGCTGCTCCCAAGCCTCCCCCCACTGGCGGTGCTGCTCCGGGCAAGCTGAATCCGCTTCCCGAGCCTACGCCCAGGTCTGCCCCCGAGCCTACAGCCGGTGCCGAGGCTGGCCCGGCGGTCCAGATAAGGGAGACGAACTCGGGGTGGTCAACGAAGGGGTTGCGATTGTGCTGGTAGAGGGAGCACACGCGGGCATTGCGCGTGGTCTCAAGGGATGAAGGTGGATCGATGGCATGCCACTTGAGCAGAGGTGAGAGTAGCCCCATCTGACCCTCGGCTGGAGGGAGTCGGATGCAAGCGAGGTAGGGAGGGGTAGAGAACGGTGGTGGGTTGGTTAGAGGGCGGGTCGATGGCATGCCACTTGAGGAGAGGTGGAGGGAGTCGGATGCGGAGGGAGGGGTGGAAGGGTGGGAGGAAAGGGTAGAGGGAAGGGAAGAGGAAGGAGTAGTGGGTGTGGAATCGGGAGGGAAAGAGAGAATGGCATGTAAGACGAGGGGTGAGCAGCCCATTTTGGGCTTCAGCTGGCGGGGGGAAGCAGACAGAGGCGTGTGATTTGTGCAGAACAAAGAGATTACGGAGAAACATCACCATGGCATACCGATTTTGGGGTTGTCTGAGAGCTCGAGGTCCAGCTCGCCTGGCACAGAGCCATCATATCTCACAGCCATGTAGAGCAGCGCACGTGCTATGTCTCCCCGCACCTGTTTCAGAAATGCACAGGCACAGGGATTACACGAGGCGGTCAGTGTGACAGTGCCAGGCAAGTGTGGCAATTGATATCGTAAACATTGGAGTGCTTTAGCGAGGCAGTTTTGGTATGCGTACCGACAGACGGAATTCATGAGGTGGTTGGACCGACAGAGCGACGAGAAATCATTGCGGTTAATTCTGAGAGGGTGTGTATGATGACACATCAATGCCTTTGTGTGTATGATGACACATCAATGCCTTTGTGTGTATGATGACACGTCAATGCCTTTGTGTGTATGATGACACATCAATGCCTTTGTGTGTATGATGACACATCAATGCCTTTGTGTGTATGATGACACGTCAATGCCTTTGTGTGTATGATGACACATCAATGCCTTTGTGTGTATGATGACACATCAATGCCTTTGTGTGTATGATGACACATCAATGCCTTTGTGTGTATGATGACACATCAATGCCTTTGTGTGTATGATGACACATCAATGCCTTTGTGTGTATGATGACACATCAATGCCTTTGTGTGTATGATGACACATCAATGCCTTTGTGTGTATGATGACACATCAATGCCTTTGTGTGTATGATGACACATCAATGCCTTTGTGTGTGCTCACAAGGAAAGTATGAGTGCATACGGAAAGGCAGCACGAGAGCAAGAAAAGAAGACAGGAAGTAAGAAAGCAAGAGGCAAGAACACTAGCACGCACCTCAGTGGGGGGAGTCCAGACGTCCTTGTTGGTGGCGGTGTCTGCTGCTGCCTCCCTGTTGGCCGGCACCATACAGGTACCGTCAGTGGACGTGCATTCGCCGTACCACTTGTTGCCTCTGGCGGAGTTCACTGTTTGTGACATGACAACAACAAGGGGAAATCTCGTGATATGAATATACGAAGCAGAGGATAAGGTGTGAAAGATAGTCAGTACAGTCCCTTTTCAATTCCAGCAAAAATGTTGTTAACATCGCCTCACTGTTCCAAATCCGCTACCAGTCCAGCCCAGCACATCATCAAGCGTACCATTGACATCAGCGGGTCTCAGGTTGTGAAGGTCGGAGAACTCAGGGCGGCCCTGAGTGAGGCCGTAGGAGCGCGGCCACAGATGCTCCCCTGGTGGATGGGTGGAAGGGAGACAGCAATTTCAGTGCAATTCATACAAATTCCACAACTCATTGCGACCAGTAAAATCACAGCTCTAACAGCAATCAGAACAATCGTTGCTATCAGTTGGCACTCACTGTTCCAGCCTTCAGGCGTGGCCTGTGTGTCCTTGGGCACTGCCCTACGCGTGTAGATCTCCACACTGGCCATGGGAACACACAGGGGGGGAACCAGAAATAGTGAGCAGCGGTGAGGAAGAGGGGGGAAGGAAAACGAGGAAGAGAGGGACCATTTGACTGCGGAAAGTGTGCAATTGTGGATTACTCGTGGTAGGCCCACTCACGGACAGTGAGGAAGGGAGGAACCACCACTTAATTGTGCAAAGTGTGAGAATCTGTGGATTACTTGTGGTAGAGCCACTCACACGTCACGGGATTTAGCAGGATCTGATTGGTCCGCTGCATCAAGAATCTTCAGAGCATCCCATGCCTGCCATGAGTTCAGATATCGTGGGAGGGAGGGGGTTCTGAAATTAGTGAGAGTGTCCAGTCTTCTTGCACGACATTGACTAATTCGTGGAGTGTGATGTTGAAAAGAAACGAGGGAGCTGATAGAGGTGCTACAGCCATCCTTTGCTGCCCAGTGAGTAATTACCCGTGGCTGACAGCCTCTTAGCACAAATAAATTCCTTCAATCTACCTCCTCAGGTGATCCATTACTCTCAGAGCTACCTACCTCGGTGTAGGTGTACACTTTATGACCCTTTATAATGTCGTGCAGCTTCGCCTTTAGCGCCTCTCCCTTCAGCCCCTGCGTGCCTGCATAGTACTGCTCCACGTCTTCGCACGGGAACTTCGTGGAAGCTGCTTCGGCTGACCATGGTGCGAAGCAAGCGGCTGCTGTGGGCGTGAGAGTGATGAGGGTTGCCAGCAGAGCTGCTGTCGCCTTGGATGCAGCTGGGGAAGAAGACAGAAAGGGAGGGTTTTGTGGGTGTGAGGAGCGAAAGCAGGCGAGAAGGCAGGGTCGTAAGTAACCGTTGTCACGTTTTCGTTTTTTATCAACATTTCCATGTTGGTTCCGCTTCCACTTTGACAACTCGTGAACCGTTACCTCAGGTAATGGAATACCGAAACGACCAATGGTCTCGATTCCAGCATTCCAGCCAGACCAACAAGCATTGCTAGTCAAACGCCTGGACAAAACGCAGAATCATGACCGAATTCAGGGTGAAGTCGATAGATTCCTGGCCAGACGTCACCGATTCAAGAGAAGGCGGGCGACAGATAGCTTGCAACGATCCGTGAATTGCCGTACCTTTCTGGCCAAACGTCAAAGTTTCCTGCAGAGACTCCAGCCGTCCATTGCCATGTCTACCTCGTTCACTTCCCGTCGCGTCAGAACGAGACGACGCGGATGTGAAGCGTTGGGAGCGGCAAATAACTGGACCTGCTTGCCTGGTCCCCCGGGAAGCACCCCTGGCCGCGGTGCCTCCAGGGGTTGAGATTGTAAGTGAGCGTGCGGACGAGGAGGAGGCTGTGCTGGCCAATTGGGAGCTTCGTTGAAGGAAATCTGTCTGGGGTCGACCTCCCTGTGGGATGGAGTGGACGGAGAGTTAAGAGATAAGCGAGACGGGGTTGAGTGAGATGGGAGGGGGGTTTGCGGAAGGCACAGGTAAGATGAAGAAAAGCGCGGGTCCAGTAAGTGGGAAAGTGGCGGAAATTACGTGTACATTGGAACTCACGGCGTTCAATCCGCGAGCGCTCATCAACGAGCAGTCAGAAGCCAGCAGTGCCATTGCGAATCAGCGAATCCAACGATTCAGCTGCAGGCCGCGTGAATTCGGTGTTTGGGACAACAGACGGGGAGTAGTCAGCTGCGAACTTCAAGAATCCTGTCGATCAGCAATGGAAGGATTGATGATCAAGGATATGTATGGAGTCGCAGAGCAACTCCAACAATTTTCCAGGGAAGAGCGGATGAAATGGATGTTGGAATTCTCGAGAATGTGACACGTCATCGAGAGAATTCTGGCTTGGAAACCGTACCGAGCGTACCTCACTTCGGCTCGGCCGAACCAGCTTTGCATTACGTGTTATTCTGCTCCGTGCATCATCCCACCACCCTCGACAAACCTCATGGACCCGAGGCACTGTGATTGGCTGTATGCTCTGGCCTCCTCCTCTTATTGGACGCCTCCTCGTCGATGTGAACGTAGCCTTGATCTTGGTATCTGTGACGCAACATGGGTGGATACCAACAAACCTCACGCTCGGAAACATTTTCCTCCCTTGTTTCAGAAATGGGACTCCCGGCAGGCAAGCGACGAATAAATCCACCTCCATGACCACCACACAGATAGACGGAACAGCAAAGTACCACTCTCCGTTTCAGTTTTCTCCTCGGGAATCATAAGATAGAGCGTCACCGTTACGTTACGTCCCGTTATTGTATCGGAATGTCGACAGGCATTTCTTTAGGGACGTACCGCCAGGTTCCCTTGCAAGTTTTTCGGTGTCGCCATTCGGTGTCGCCAATATCGGCGCCGGTCTCCTACCATCCTGCGTCGAGATCGCTATTCCTTACATCTGCACCTGGAGCTCTTCGCTTGATCACAAGAACGGGAGGAAGCATTAGGTTAAGAAAACGATGCCAGGAAGGAATATTTAACAGTCGCATTTCGGGGAGCAGCGTTTGGAATATTCGCGGCCTTGCAGAGACCAACTTGGAGCAAGGAAACCAGTCTGATGTAAACCCGCCACGCACCGCCAGATCTTGCGAATCAGCTGGAATTTCTTTTAGACGAGCCTTCCTTGCAGGTGCAGCAGCACTGGCAGCAGTCCCTGTTGCAACTGAGCCATGGGGGATTAGAGGCTTCACGGAGCCTGGAGCTGCACATGCAGCGGTTCTGCCAGGGCGAGTGGGGCAAGGGCCTCTGTTGGCTGCTGTGAGCGACGATGACGAGGACACCATCGTATCTCTGTTTGAGGTGAGGGCCGCCTGTGCTATGGTCATTCCGCATACTTTGTCCGTTCCGTTGCGGTGAGGCGTGATCATCTCTTATCGTCTAGCAAATATAGGCGTGATCGTCTCATTTTTTTAAATGTCATGTCGTTTTGCATGATTCTCTTCCGTTTAGCAACTATTATTCTCCTTGCATGTCCATCTTCCCTGTTCGTTTCCCCACGTTGTGCTTCCAGAACGCAACAGCGTCAGTAGTGTCTATTATGAATGTTGAAGTGAATGGCAGCGGCAAGGGAAAGGGAGGAGCTGGAGAGGAGGTCATGGAAGGAATTGGCTCCGGATTTGTCTGGGATGAATACGGTCACATTGTAAGATACAATTATCATTGCATTGATGGTGCGCTGTAGAACACTGTCTGGGCATGTTACAGTGCAATGCCATATGATATCAGACAGTACCATCGATAGTCAGGAAGTCATTGCGGTGGCTCGGTCTGGAAGGATCTATCACATTGAGATTGACAATGGTCAGGTGTATGCTGTGCATGCCTCTACATCATCTCATGCACATGGTGGTGATCTCCTTCCACCTCCATCTCGCTGACGTGGCAGGTCACCAACTACCATGTGGTTGCCAAGCTGGCGACTGACACTTCTGGGCGGCAAGCCTGCAGGGTGAGAATGGACGGAAGTGGAAGGGAGAGTAGCATTGCAAGAGGTAGAGGGTGGTGTCATTTCTGCTCAAAGAGGAGGATGCTGTAGTCATTCAAAAACTTTTCACCACCGGTGCTGTCATTGTTACCTCTCCCCTCCACTTTTGTCCCTGATTGAAGCTCCCAAACGTATTTTGCTACAATCGTCGCCTGCCTCTCCCTCTCCAGGTGTCTCTTCTCGCCCCAACAGGCGCCATGCAGACGTACGCTGCTACTCTTGTCGGCACTGACCCCTCCAGAGATCTTGCTGTACTCAAGGTGAGTTCTGGAGAATCCCTCGCCGCTTTTGCTGGTTAAGCTCAATGAATGGATGACCCCAGCGATTGACCCACTCAAAGATTCCTACCCTGGCAGCAATTTCTGTTTGAGCGCCCACATTACTTCTGATTGGCCCTGCATTCCTGATGTTACCAGGTAGACCTATCTCAGCCTGTACCTGCAGCAGCAGATACAGGTGCAGCAGCAGACGGTGCAGTGGCGGTAGCAGCACCAGCAGCACCAATGCTGTATCCCATTCCTGTGGGCTCATCATCGGACCTGAGGGTGGGCCAGAGCTGCTTCGCCATTGGCAATCCCTATGGCCTGCAGCACACACTCACTGCTGGGGTACGCGTCTCATTTTCTAGTCGTCTCAAACTTCATTGGCCATCTCTATGGCCTGCAGCACACACGCTGGGGTATGTGGGTCCTGTCGGCTTCAGGCGAATGGTTGTGATGAAACAGGGAGATGCTGCAGATGTGAATGATACTGCCGTGGATGTCACTTGTAGGATGAAGCTGGTACGGATGACACTGGTACAGACAATACTGCTCTACGTGGCATCAGGCTACGTTGTGTACATTGTCGGTGATGATGTAGTATGGCAGGCAGTACTCCCTCATTTCATGAGGTGTTAAGTGGGGTGGGTGATTGATGGGGTGGTGATACTGGGACAGAAGGTTGATGATTGGGGTGATACAGAGGGCTCAGTACATGCCTTGTGCTTTTCCCTCCAGGTCATCAGTGGGCTAGGCAGGGAGATTCCGGCACCAACGGGTGCTGCGATCAGGGGAGCGATTCAAACTGACGCTGCAATCAACGCAGGTGAGACGCTCAGTTGTGACATGCGAGGAGGTGGGGAGAGCGGGGGAAGGAAGGAGGGGATTAGAGTGGGAGGTTTCGACTACTGCTGGCATCAGCTTGACCAATTCCTGCACCGGTTTATGTGAGCGCTCTTGTGAAGCCCTACTGACTGGATTCATTTGTGTGTTCAGGTAATTCCGGTGGTCCTCTGCTCGACTCCTTTGGACGGATCATTGGAGTAAACACTGCAACTTTCACTCGATCAGGTTAGTCATGTCACAGGAGTGGATGTGAGCTTCCGGAGGACTTTGGCTGACTGTTGCAAGTGAGGCGTTTTGGCTGGTAGATGTGCACGATTCTCAACTGTGTTGTGGTTCCCGTCCCCTCCACATTGCACATTACAGGTTCTGGCTCTTCATCCGGGGTCAACTTTGCCATCCCAGTTGACATGGTCAGGAGAGTGGTGCCCCGACTTATTGTCTATGGTGCTCCTAGACCACCAGCTGTGTAGGCACTACGTATTATTTCCTTATTGAGCAGGGGCCAATCGTTGCTCCTCATATTGTATCAAAGGTGGTGATGAAGTAAGAGAGGTTCTGGAATACCGTCATCGCCCGTATATAAGACAGTGTAGAGTAGTAGACAGGGGTTGTCTATTATACGGGTGTCTCTTATCAACAGGCTAGCCTTTCTATACGACACCTATTTGTGTGCACGAGATAAGACATATATGTCTTATAATCAGAACCGGGGTTTGGGGGTTTTCTTATAAACAAGGGGGTGTCTTCTAGACGAACCTTCCTTACTTAAGGGGGGTACATGCATACAAGGGGGTTTTCTTATAATCTTAACTTCTACCTGAACCCCCTCAGTCACCGCCTCCTCACCTGCACTAACAGCAGGCTGTACACCCAGGTCTGGCACACGCCATGCATGCCTAGCCGTCTCCCTAGGCTCGATCATGTGGTCAGCTTCGGCCGCCGCTCCGCGGTAGTTGGGGGTCTCCTGGTACAGCACCTCCAGGCCGGTTGCCACGGCCACCTCCCGCACGCCCTCCGCCTGCATCGCCTCCTCCTCCTCCTCCGCCTCTGGAGCCTGACCGAGCAGGCGCGTGTTGTCGCCTGTGGTCCCTCCGAGGGACATGTCCGCCGAGACATCGGTGGTGCTCCTGGCGCGCAGGTGAGACATTACCATGTGGTTCTCCGTTCCGTCCATCTTGCTTGAGATCCCACAGTGGCGGAACGCGTCGATGATGATCTGCTTGGGGACTTGATCCCAAGCCTCCGCGATCCACTGCAGCACCACGGGGTGCGGAGGCCTCCGCAAGTTCTCTGCGGGTGGGACAGAGGACAGGGCAGCTAGATGTTAGAGACACGGACATGAAGGAGCATGTTTAAGACAGGACAGGAAACTGAACAGGAATAATATCGTAAATGAAGGACCAACTCACCCTTCTTCGTCTTCAGGTGAATCCGTTCACGCATGAACCACCTGGCGTAGCGCGCTCTCACAGCAGCCTTGAAGCACCGGTTGATGGAGACGTCCAGGGGTTGAATCTGGCTCGTACAACCCACTGGGATGACTGCAGGGGTGATGCTGTGCGTGCGGTACGACTGAAGCATCGTCTGGGTGATGTGACCACGGTAGGAGTCCAACACCAGCATCGCACGCCTCGCGTTCTGGCCGCGCTGGGGATTCAGATGGGGTAGCACCTCCTTGGACAACCAGGTTTGCACAGCGCTCTCGTCCATCCACCCGTTGTCCTGTGCTTGGACCACGATTCCTGCCAGGCACATAAGGGACAGACGAGCATCAGCACAGCGGGGCACGCTCATCAGGCAGTCGCAGGGTTGAATTCATTATGCCTACCTTCCAGAATCTCACAGTTGGGGACGTTCTTCATCTTGAACCACACCCACGGCCGCAGCTTCTCCCCGGATGCAGTGCACGCGAGCATCACCGTCAAGCGCGTCTTCTGGTGGCCTGTAGTGCGGATTGGGACCGAGCGCGCGCCACGGTGCTCGATCGTCCGTTCGGCTGGCATCTCCACGAATAGTGTACTCTGGTTCGCGTTGATGATGCGGGCCAGGTCGATGTTGTGCCGCGCCCTGTTGATGCGCACGAACTTCCAGAAGGACTCGCAGTCCTTCGCGCACTCTGCAAACGGGACAAGCGCAACGGAAGCACGGGATGGTTAGACTCTGGGCGAGGTACATGCATTCAATAGCCCGCGCGCGACACGAATTCCTTCAACACGCACCTGTGGACAGACGTTGACCGACCTTGGTCTTCACCCACATCACCAGGTTCCAGCGGTCACGGAAACGTTGGCTCCAATGAGAGCTCGCGTTCCAGTTCTTGCCGGGGTGGTGTTTCTTCATCCACTCGCGGCTCCACTTCTGGGTGTCCTTCACCGAGACGGCCACCCCGTTAGCGCACTGAAGGCAGATGTAGCGGTACAACGCTGCCTCCATGCCGGGGTAGTGTGAGTGGCGCCCCCCCCCCCGTACATCCGCTTGTGGCAGTTAGCCGCGCCCTTGTAGAGGCCCGCAGCCGCCTCCGCACTCCATCGTCTGATGCAGGCGATGAACACGATTGACTCCACGCTCGTCTTCTTCAAGGAGCCGAGCTCCTAATAGCGGCGCGCCCACTTAAGCTTCTCGCGCACGGTCCATGCGCGGCGCTTCCTCATAGTGTCTTTGTTGCGAGGGGAAGGCGGGCGGGAATTGGGATTATGGAGGGTGGGGTCCTTCGACGTGACCTTCTCAGGGAACGTGGGAATCGGGCCCGCCACCGCCGCGTACTCATCGTCGCTGGCCAACGTCTCGTTCACGACGATGTCGTCAGGATTCGGCGCCTTCTTCGCCTTCTTCTTAGCCGCACCCTTGCTGGATCTCGGGTCTCCGTCGGATGTCCGCTTCTTGTTGCTTGTGCGGCGACGAGTAGGGGCCTTAGCAGGGGCTTCCACGACCTTGGCTTTTCCCTTCTCCGCAGCGGTGAGTATCGGGCGACGCTCCTCCCCCGGACTGTCGTCGTCAAAGAGCACCACGCGGGCCTGCTTCGACTTGGAGAGTAGGCGATGGCGCAGCCTCCGCTTGAGTAGCGGAACGTCTTCGTCGGTCCCAATGCTCCATGGGTCGTCGTCGCCGCCTTCACCGTTAAATAAGACGGCATCCGCAGCAACCTTGTCGGACTCCGCCACAGCATCCGCAGGCGCAACTTTCTCGAGTTCCGCCCCCACATCGTCGTCAGCCTCCTCATTCGCATCCACTGCCGCTGCCTCGTCGTTGTCACCATCCGCATTTTCACCTCCCCCGTTGTTCGAATCACCAGCCCGCCACTCTTCTACCTCGTCGTCGCTCCCGACCGGCCGATTCCACCATTCGTCCTCCTCGATGTCGGCCGGACCTAATTCGTCGCCCGAAGCGCTGTCGTCGTGGCCGTTCTCCGGCCAATCCTCCTCGGCGCCGTCGCCATTCGCTTCGTCTTCGTCGTTCCCGTCACACCTCGCGCCGGAGGCGGCGGTAGGACTTCCCGCCTTGCTCGCGTTTTTTTCGCCATGGCTACACGGATATCATCGCTGGGCGAGTTAATTCGCCCGTAGTTATTCACCTGCACGTAAGGACGAGGATAGGCAGAGCCTACGGGTACTTCCGGAATCTCACAGCAGAGCCTACGGCTACGCATGGTTAGTAAGCCTGCCGAGAGCAAGGTTGAGACGAGTATTCAACCTCCTTGAGCACCAAATGAAGTGAGAGCCCGACTACCCCCCCCAGCCAGAGTGCCCCATCCACAGGTGCCGAGCCGCTCCTCTACGAGGCATCTCCTCGTAGAGGACAGCCCTCACGCTGCCAACGTGCTGCCAGCAGCGTTCTGGAAGCATCCCTGCGCTGCTGGCAGCAAAACGACGCTGACAACATCATTAGATGCTGCCAGCACAGAGGAATGTTGCCAGCGGTGCAGCTTTGCTGCATCCCTCACGTGGCAAGTGTGGGCGCTACATGCATCACCACCGAGGTCGGCTTGTTTTAACGAATTTGGTCTCTGGGTAATTTCTTCACAATTCGCAAGTGTTACAGTCAACTTTTTTTTTTCCATTTATAAGACACCCTAAACCATCCCGTTTACATGATAACTCAAGCATTTTTGCCCGTGTACGAGTTAAGACATATATGTCTTATATCCGGGCGATGACGGTAAGGAGATGACCACAATTTGTTCTTGACTACCGTATATGATTTCTGGTTTGTTTCTTGATCCTACACCACGCTTGAACTTAACAAAGAAAATGCTTGTACAGGCAACCAACGTGGCATGCTGAGGGAACGTTATCCACGTCACCACATCCTCACCCTCGATTTCACCTACTTCGCGAACCCTCGCGAAATAGTCACTCTGCTGTACCTTCGATGTTCTGGATTCGCCAATTGCAGACTCGGGAACCTGGAGCCTGTCAGTTACATGACTGGCTGCGGGTAACCCTCTTTCTTCGTTAGTAGTCGAGAAACTAAGGGAACATCCTTGACTGTACTGCAGCCTCCTTTCCCAACTCACTTCCCATCACACCCCATCCCCGCCACAGCAGCAACGATCAGTTCCCAAGGTAAAACGACCCTACTGATATTGTGGACACCCTCCAGAGAAGATTCTTGGTTGACTTTTACCATGGCTGCCTTTGTGAGCTCTCTCGCGCTCTCCGCCTCCGCGGCTCCCCGCGCTGCCGTCCGCTGCTCCGCTGCGGAACCCGCTCCGTCCAGCCAGGCCGCTCCCGCTCAGGTCCGCGTAGCGTCGTCGGGCCTTCCGTCCTTCGCGAGGGTGTCGGCGGAGAATGCTGCGACGGCGATTGACCCGTCTGCGACGTTCGCGAACGTGATGTGGGCGAAGACGCTACAACACGCAGATTCTGGTGGGCGAGAGCGAGAGCACGGAATCGGTCGTGCGACGGTTTAAGAAGATTTGCATGGAGGCGAACATCGTGAACGAGTGTCGCAGGCGACGCTTCTTCGAGACGCAGCAGGACATCGTCAAGCGCAAGCAGAAGGACGCCGCCAGGCAACGCAAGCGATTCTCGTGAGTCTCCCGTGGCTACCCTATCATTGTCCTTTCTGTGTCTGTTTTCCTTTAGCGCAACTATGGCGTTAAGAGACAGCTTTATCGTTCACTAAATAAAAATTAGCGACAATGCAGCCATTCTCTTCGCGTCCGAGACGGCTCGCGGCGGAAAAGTCAGGGTTATGCTTCCGTCGGACGGAACACGAGAGCGGCTTATCTGCGACGCAAGTTAGGGTTTTGCGCGCATTAGAAACGCCAACGGGGAATCGTGGGATGGAGGTTAGTCTGGGCGGCACACATGGCGCGCGAGTGCGGCTTCGACGTCGTTGTAGGCGTTACGCGAGCAGGAATGGGTAGCACGTGGGCGGCACTTGGGCGGCACTCGATGGGACATGACGTCGCTCGTAAATCGCAAAGGAGGCCACGACCAGACTGATTAGATTCGTCAAGTAGTCAGGGTAGGGTGGAGTGGAAGTGGAATCGTGGAGTAAATGCATTCGATCAACTGTAGCAGAGCCTCTCGCGCATCCAACGGCTGTAGCAGAGCAGCAGCAGTTGCAGGAGGGAGTCGAGTAGAAAAATCTTATCGACGCCGCAAAGATCGTCTCATCACACGCGGATGAGGAGTAGCAGCAGAGGCAGCAGCGGCTGGCGTCGTAGGTAGGAGGCTTCGGCAGTGGCGCAGCTGATTTTAGCGCTATCGGAAACTTATAAAACTGACACAAGAATAGGGACTGTAGCGATGTGTCATGTACAACGCGGTATCGGTCCGTAGCAGCATCCCACCAGTTGCATTACCTGAACGAGACATGTGCGACCGGCTGCGCGTTGCCGGAAAGGCTGTCTTCGTCGCCTACTGCTGCTCCTAAACTTGCCCCACCTTCTCCTTCGTCTCTAGCCTTATCTCCCGGTCTTCCCCTTGTGCTCCCCGCGTCCCATCCGCCTTCTCTCCAGTACTGCTCTTTCCGCCACACCTGTCACATATACGCGTTACTAAACTCTGTCCATTTTGTTGCTATAACTTTTGCGTTTTACACCCGATTGCACCCGTGCCCTTGCAGGCGCCAGCCTAGCAGCAGTTGAGCAACATGGCATATCATTCCATATCATAACATCATACCTTTCCATACCTCATGTCATGGTCATCTGATGCCATGATGTATGTATTCTGCTGCGCATTGCCCTTCCATGCTTCCTCCAGTCCACGCCACTTCTGCCCTCACCCTTCGTCTTGCGTTCCTCTTCCAGCAGCCGGGAACGCACCGTTCTTGCCCTGTCGGTTTTCATTCATGGCCTTTCTTTCTCGTGCTGCTCCCCACCCGTCCACCCCACAACAGGCGTGCCTCCTCCTGCCTGCGCCCTTTCTTCACGCGTGACCCGGGCAGCGGCCAGCAAGGCAGCAGCCAGAGACATGCAATGCCTGACCTCTGCACCTCTCGTGCTCTCTGTCTGCTCTCCACCCTTCCTCCCCTTCACAGGCGTGCCTCCTCCGGCCCGCGTCCCTTTCTTCACGCGTGACCCGGCGGCGGCCAGCAAGGCAGCAGCCACCTCCAATGACGATGATGATGACTTCTGGGATGCCAAGGTCGAGCTGTAGAGGGCAACCTGTTGTCATTTGTGGGCTTTAACGCTGGATATTACTGTACTGTAGCTGCCTTCAAGTTGGCAGTGCGTAACTACAGCACTTTCCACGAAGTTCTGATCTACTTGCTAAGTGCAAAAACTGGACTATGCAAGGAAGGAACAATTGAGAAGGTACCGTTGGTGCAGGTAGATTTGGGACGTTTTTATCAGATAGCAAAAAAGTGGTGAAACTGGCAGATTGTGAAAGTGTAGTATATGGGTTATCATTT